AGAAGATGCTGGAATGTAGTTTATAACCTCAGGTGAATTGAGTCTTAACAGAGTGGAGCATTAGCCAGCGCTCACATTAGCATCACCTTCCAATAACGAAGACAGGAAAATTCAGAGAAGAGATACTAAAGAAAGATTTACAGACTCCAGATGGATTTAAAGCTCATTTATATGGTAACATATTAGCCAACTGTTACATTATCACCCTCCACATAAAAATATTTAATTTATAAGGAGGAGAGGACGGTGGGAGGAAAGCGACGAAGGAAGTTGGATGAATGAAGATGCAGTTTGTGGAGGAAATCTTTAAAAGAGATAGATGAAACCCAACTTTACAACGTTTTATACAATATATTTTACATAATATGAAAGATAGAAAACCTACGTCCAAACAGGCACTGAAGAAAACCCACTCCCAGTCAACATTCAGGTAAAAATAAAATAAAATTCAGCAAAAAAAAAAAAATAATTAGATACATTTTTAAAAAATGCATGTATGTAAATACAAATGGCTTAAAATGAGTTCCTTTAACTTAAGTCTAAAAACCCTCCTGTTCAGAGTTTCTTTTGAGCCACAGTAACTGGAACATGAATAAACACATTTCAGTTTGGTTATTATCCAAAAACTGTACAAAGGTGTAAATAATTTACTGGTGTTTCCTCTAGAGCAAAGCTATTTCCTGTAGCCACATTAATACTTTTCAATCTCAAATCTCAAAACCAAGACTCGATTCATTATTAAAACAATTCTGATCCCCTTCCAATCGACTCGGTGAGATTGGCCTGAGCAGAGACAGAAATCAGAAGGTAGGGGACAAACACAAAATTCAAGCTTTTGAATTTTGTGCATTGATGAGATCTCTGGCGCCACGCGTCGTGACTGATTTAAGAGGTATGGATCTGCTGGGATGAACTGAGAAGACAGAGTCTCATTTAAACTCCAAGGCAGAGCCCAAATACTATGAAGGTCACACCGTGGTAAAAGAGCGAGGGAACAACTGGTCCACTGAGTGTCGTTTACAGGAAGAGAAAGAAATTATCCAAATCGAGGCAGGGTGACGAACTGTTTGAAAGCCTTGAAAGGCAAGAGAAGAGTGATGAGTAGGAGGTTAGGAGCTAGAGAAACTGAGAAGGAGGGCGGCTGCACGATCAAATCCATCATTATCAAGGCCGCGTACTCTCAGCACCCCAAGCAAAAAAAAAAAAAAAAGAGTTCATTTGGGCTTGCCTACTTGTTTTCCGAAATGTGCCACGGTAGAGGAGACATGCGGTTAAAGATGGCAGCGGACTCACTGGAGCATCCGCTTTTCTGATGAAATGACCTGAATCCTATTTTCAACAACAGCTGCAGGATCAAACACAGCAAGAGCAAATTTTTGTTCAAATCTGCAAGAATATCAGCGCACTGATGTCGTTCCCCACGCCAAGACTCTGGCAATCCCTCACTCTAATGGGTAATATCTGTGTGGATATGACTGAAAACACATGGTGCCTTTAGGACTGCTGTTGTAAAAACTCCTTAAGATGATTTATTTAGATTGCACCAAAAACTATTCCCGATTACAGTGACTAAAATCTGCTACTATTTGAGAACACATGAAAGCAATTCTAACAATGAATCGACTTGTGATTAATTGTCAATTATTGGTTAATGTGATTAAAATTTGTTCCAACCAATTAATCCTCTGTTAAAGCTTCTTTCAGTGTTGTAGTTTGTCCACCATCCATTGGAGGGCGCCACTGGTCATCCTTAAGCAAAGCCAGTTGATACAGAAACAAAGATGGTGAAAATATCCAGAATATCCAAAAGTTTTACTCAAGTAAGTGCAGAACCACTTCAACCAAGAAGTTACTCAAGTAAGAGTGAAAAAGGTTTTGAAAAAAGGTTTTTTCAAGGACTGATCAAATTGTCAAACATGTTTTTTTTTTAAATTACATCATCATACGGACAAAAATATAACGTTAAGTGGAAAGGTTAGTATCTTAAGAACAAAAATGACAATAATTTATATAACTACAAAAAAAATAAATAATAGGAAGAAGAAAATGTTTCCAAATCAGTTTTTCTTTCAATATGAAACTTATGAAACTTTAATAAAAACTGCAGGTGAATTTTTGGCTAAACATGTTTGTTTTTCATTCAAATAGAAATTTTACTCAAGTAAAAGTAGAGATACTTCAGAATAAAATTAAGTAAAGTGAAAAATACAAAGTAATAAAAAAAACTCCTAAAGAAACTTTTTCCACAAAAGTTACAAGTAAATAAAATTGAGTAAATGTAACGACTTACGACCGAACTCTGAAGATATCCCAGAAAGGGAAAGAGAAACGGTCTAAACAAAGTCCAGAGTGGGATGCAAAATGCACTTTATACCATTTGAAATACAAAAACTTGACAAACTCCTTAAGTTCCACCTGATTCTTGATGTATCAGCATCAACTGCTCCATCAGAAATGACTGACTTACTCCAAAGTTTAATAATGTAAGAAAATACTGTAAATATTTACATCCATGACTTTTAATGACTGATTAAAAATCATGTGTGAAAAAGTTTATTTACACGTAATTTTAAGTGCCTTTCTTAGTTAATAGCAACAACGCAATTGTAAAACTATGTTGTTTTTTTTTATGTTAGCAGAATGTCGAAACTTTGGCTGTATTGGAAAAGCAGCTTGTGATTGTTGGGAAAGCAGACGACCTCCTGGTGGGACTTTGTGTAGAAATATGAATCCATGTGGTTAAATTCAGGTCATATGAACTGATTTTAGTGACTATTAGCATGAAGACATGCAGCAGAACCAGACAGATTAATAAGATTATATACCTGCAGACCTGCTTAATAATCAGGACAGCTGTAGCACGGAAATGAAAACAGCTGAAATGCAGAAGTCGTCGTATTTAACGTGATTACTGGGCTTGATGGGAGACCCGAGCTGGGCTGTAGATGTTAACTGGAACAGAAAGGTGAACACAGAAGGTGTGGAGACAAATGCACTGCAGCCCACACACAGCAGCTACGCCAGTAGCCAGCAGGCTCTTGAACATCTGTCATACCTGCCTGCTTCAATCCCATCACACACACACACACACACACACCCATACACACACACACACACACACACACACACACACGCACACACACACACACACACGCACACACACACACACACCCTGTGAAGTGTGTGACAGCTCAACATCGAGCCACAAGCAGAGAAAACACATGTTCCTCTCTGGTTCCCTTTCCACACAAACAGAAATGACCAGCATCTCTGTTCTGTTTCACTTCACATCAACCACATTTTCCACTCCTTGATTCTTCCTCCTTTTCCTCTCACACTTCTGTCCAAATGTTTCAACTTCGTATTTTATTTATTAGATTTTGCCTGTCTCACTTTATTTTGAAGGAGAGGAGTATTCAAGTTCAGACCTCATGTTCAGAAGGAGACATTTGCTCATCAGCTAAAAATAAAAAACAAACTGCACCAACTGCACAACCTGCTCTGTGATTTGAGACTGAAGTTTTCCACATGCAAAGGGAAGTTTGAGTAGTTATCAAACAGGAGGCCGGGACCATAAAGTGTGTGTTGAATACTGAGGAAATTAATCTCACTGTCTTCATTTAGCAGTTAAAATAAGCTCTTAAATGTCCAATAAGTGAAGTCCTGCCACAATAAATCAATTATTTTATTTACTAAACGTGACAAATAAAACAAGCTCAATTATTCTCTTTTTTCTCTCTCTACCATAAACTGGATGGAGAAAGTCTTCAGTCTGGTGTTTCGGTCTAAACTTCCCAATTTCTTGAAGGACAATTTTATTTACAAACTTGAAATTAACAATCTTATTGTTCATCTCAAAGATTTCAGGGTCAATTTCTTGTCCAGCAAAATTTGTTGTGACTATTTGGTGATGCTAAAAGATGTGAACAGAGTAGGAAAGACAAAAGATACTAAAAATGCTTTGTGAGTGAAAAAAATGCGAGATTTAAGGAAGTTTAGTTGGAAAAAATGAAACTGAAAAACTGATATGGCTGTAAAACAACATAAAAGTCAAGAAGAGATGTTTCATTTTCATACACACACCCAGTTACACTCAAACATCTATTTGAAAACTCACTTCTACCATAAAAGTACTTTTAAAAATGTATTATTTTATGTTTTTTAGTAACCTTGCATGAAACGCATAATAAAAGTGATCTTTGCAAAGGTCAGTGCAAAAAAAGGATTTATTAGCCCAGCTTATTAAATAAATAAGGCAAAGATGAGAGCAAGTTATTCTGATGCTAATCCAACATTTTATAGACCAAAGTGTTTTTTATAATTTTATTTTATGGAATTAGATCCAAAACCAAACAAACATTAGGAAAATGCTTGCAGCACTGTGATTGGTTATTGATCTGCTCATCAGCCACCCCTTATTTCTTGAGTTGGTGCAATGAAGAAATGGTATTATGGCTGTAAAACTGCAAAGAACTGATGCGAAGACCCACCATGATCAGTACTGCAACTGGACACTCCAGATTATTCAATCTACAGAAATGTTGCCAAAGAGTTCATAGCTGGTTTTCTTAACTGACTGGAGATAATGAAGAGGTTCCACTCATCAACAGCAACAGAGCAAGCATCGTCTTTGTAACACACACACGAAGACCCCGTCAGGCCGTCACAGACCTGATGGGCTGTCATTTAATCAAATGAACTGTCACTTGTTGTGTCCTCAGACGCCCACTGGGATCCTCGTTATCGGCCATGATTGCCCCCAACTAACCTCCACAACCTCTCCTCCTCCACCCGAAGCACTCCAGCTCTCCTCCATCACAATTATCATCAGCGGTGATTCATGCTGCCATTCCTGAGGGGAAAGCTTTGTTCTTCTTTTCATTGTCCCACTCATCCCGTCGCTCAGGTGTCGGTTCAATCAATAACTAACTCCCAGTACAAAAACGTCAAAACAGCTGAGAAAACAAACCGGCGAAGCCGTGGGAGTCGTCTCCACTCACCTGCACATTTAGTCCTGGTTATCAGCGCCGGCCCCGGCGGCCCAGTCCCCCCTTCGCCCGGTCTGGACAGCAGAACCTTGATCTCGTACTCCACATCTGGGTCCAGGTGCCATAACTTGTAGGTGGGGGCGTCAACCACGTGGGTCTCAGCCCAGTTTCCTGTAGTGGTGCGGTACTCCACCTCCTTCAGGATGATCGGCCCGTCTCCGATGATGCTGTTGGCGTTGGGTTTGATCCACAGGTAGGTGGCGCCAACGGCGAGGAGTTCAGGGGGAGCGATGGGAGTGGGCGGGGCTGGAAAGTACAAGGAACAGATAATAAACATGAATGACATGTTGTGCTTGACTTGTGACAATACCCTGCATGTTTTAGAGTGTTTTCATCCCAAAAGGTGGGAGGGTGTAGATATTAACAGAAACACTCCTATTTAATATTTATATATTAATATTATACTGACTCAGATTAACACAAGAAATACGATTAGCTACCAGAAATACACAGCTCTGCTTTACAATGTGCCTCCGAACACATCTAAGCTCTGAAGGATGCGTAGAGCAGATAAATGTGCACATGTGCCGTAACTTTCTCCAAATGAACAGAAACAAAACTTCAGTTATTATCTTTGAGCCTGCAGAGGAACGACTCACAGCTTCAGTTCTTACAGCTGGAAGAAAAGATCAGACTGAAATCCCACTGCAGGACTCTGACCTGAGCCTTTCTTTTACCTGAAGAACATTCCCAGGCCTAAAGGAAATGTTGCAGCATCCAGAAAACTGCCTTTATGTCAAGGTTTGAAACCCACCTGCTTAGTTACCTTTGACTCATAAAAACAGAAACATATACTTGACGTCTATTTGCTTGATTATTGTTTTGATGGCACCAGACAAAATTTAATGGTTGGTGTTAAAACGTTAAATTATTTTATGATGCAAAGCACTTTTAATTATGACATAAACTTGATTTCACATTTGATAGTTCAGTAGATTTGGTTCAACTGGGAACCAAAACTGCAATATTTGTTGCATTTTCAAGCTGTTGTGGTTCTTCTCTTTCTGTGTCAAAAGATCAAAAAGTCTTTGAAAAATCTGTTCCCCTCCTCGCCTGTATGGGCGCTGCACCAAGAACCGCTACAAGAAACAACACAAATAACCTCAGAAGACACTCAATGCAACTTCCTTCACCAAAAGTAAGAAAAATAGAGTGGCTTTATGTGGTTGTAGGATTTCTCTTTTGTCTTTGGCTAAAGACCACGAGCCATGGGTTGGCACTGGGTTGGCACATTTGTTTTGGTTGCATTTACCCAGAATTCCCTGCTCTTCAGTCCGCTTCCTGCTGCTCTCTGCTTGGCGTTCACATATGTATTAAAACAGCACCAACCAAACCCAGAACGAGGTTTTTAGGCCCACCAGAATTAGCTACTCTTGTTTACATCAACGTTCGATTGCTAATTTGAATTTCTCCAAACAAACCAAACAAACTGGAGTTTGATCAAAGTGACCCAAACAGGGTTAGTGTGAATGTGGGCTTAGTTCTCTCACTGGTTCTACATGTCTGGATCAAATGTTGGCTCATTAGCAGGCCTCTGCAGAACATTGACATGCTGAGGGTGTTGAACCAGGGAGAGCAAAAGCATGAAGGATGCCGGCCCTGGAGGACTGACTTTGGAAACCCCTGCTGTAATGTGATTAACTGAGCTCATCGTCACAGAATTATTTAATATATTTAAGCCCAATCAATGTTGCTGAAGTATGCAATACTTGAACTGATTAATTAATTTTGTAAAGCCCAGCCTCCCCCTCTTTTCCTGTCCTTTTACCCTCAAGTTCTTCAGAGTAATTTTCAAAAATGCACCCGAGATTTGAAAAGCCCAAATTAACTTCTGCAAATCCAAATCATCAGAAAAACCTCAAACTCTGCATTATTTATTTTTCTGTCAATAAGCCATCCATTCATAATCCTCCACTGCCTGAAATTGGGTTGGAGAGCGAACATTTCCTAAAAAATAAAAATTAAAAAATCTAACATTTCCAGCTGCTTTGTGTGGTTTCTAAGACATTCAAAGCAATATTTTGTCTTGCCAGCGAGTTCTGGGTTTTCTCCCAATGGCAGGAAAACACCTTGGAGGCATCATGAGTGAATGCATGTTCATCAATGCAGGGGACAAGTGCCTGAACCCAAAACCAAATGTCTGCAACCTGCAGATCCAGTGGCACCAGTGGTTCTTTAAAACGTTTTCAAAGAGATGCAAAAGTCCTACATGAGAATTAACAAAGGTTCTTGGTTCTTTTGCTAAAACCGTTTTATAGCAACAAGCACAGATTTCAGCAAGTTTTTTTTTTTACTTTTGACATTAAAACAGTCAGTTATACCCTTTCAGGTGATCAAATCCTACTTATATCTTCTTCTCTAATTTCTTCCTGTATGTTTCTTGTTTAAAACTTAATTTTTTACAATAGTCAATAGTTACGCTGCAGCTGACGATCCTATAATTATAATTTAAAGAAATGATTCAACCTGCCTCTAGGCTTAGGATATTTTCTTGCTTTTAATTTTATACAAAAGCTCAGATTTTTATTAAAGCAACTATGTTTTGAAACATTCAGCTTATGTAAGATTAGAAAACCAGTACAATGTATTCCAATACAACATAGGCTAAATAAAAACAGCTTATAGAGAATGATGAAAACAACGTACGCGAATCGGCCAAGGAGGAAATTCAAAGACTGTTTACAAGCCAAGCAGTAACGTTTACCTCCAACAAACAAGCAAAGCTGCGGCGACGTAGTGACATAAATCTAAAAGCGGCTCAGTTAAAGAGCAGCAGGAGCAGATGGAAACAATGACAAGGAAATTAATTGGACTTTTTCCGTTAGTCATCAGACTCCCTCCGCATGCGAAGCACAGCATGATGTATGGTAATTACCACGGACAGCTCCGGCGTGTCTGCGGCCCTGAGACCAAAACTCGGACACTGATCGTCACAAGATGTGGGAACAGAAAAGGAGCCTTTTTTATTACTCAAATGTTCATAAACATTAAGATTTTGGCAACTTTAGCAATTCTGAGGTGGAAAAAAGGTTTCTATGCAGATCAAATTCTATGCAGATTAAAATTCTATGCAGATCAAAATCTGCTTTCAACACTTCAGGTATTAAAAGTGAAAAACATTTGTTGTTAGAAGAAATGTTGAGATGCAAAAGTCCTACATGAGAATTAAGCTACTCATTTATCTCCTTAAACAAAGGCATCCAGCACTTTCCTTTAAATTTTGACATTTTTTAAAATATTTTTTTCTCTGAAAAAGTTTGCATTTTACCTGCAAGGAATGATGTTCCTTCTGCTGCTGCAGTCTTAAAACGTCCCGGTTTTACTCAGAAATTTCTTTTTTTTGCTTCCCTCAAGGCTGCATTAGCATATGCATGACGGCTGCAGGACTGATGAATCAACTGTCAGTCGGTGCATACTCATACATCTCAACTACATGAAGCCGATGTGCGTACGGCCATGGTCCAGACATCAGGCATCTCTTTATCCACCGCTCTAATCCACAGACGTCAGACAGCAACAGCATGAGTCACCAGTTTGGGGCTTTTTATGATTGATTCAAACAGATCTTTGTCCTGAGAAGAATGACTTACAGAAGACATAAGAAAGAAACTGATCTCTCAGAACCACCAATATTGGATCATGTATTGAAACAAAACTGAAGTCATTATCTTTGGACCTAAACAGGAATGATGTAGAGCTGGAAACCAGAGATGAGGCCTGAAATCTGGGTGAACTGATGGACTCAGACCTGAACCTTCAGAGCCAAATAAAGACGGTTACAGAGTCGGCCTTCTACCACCTGAAGAACATCTCTAGGATTAAAGGACTGATGTCACAGCGAGATCTAAAGATCTTGTAGCTTTAGCTGCATTGATTACTGCAACGGCATCTGAATCAATGATCCAGCTGCAGATCATCCAGAACTCTGCTGCTGGCGTTCTGACTAAAACCAGAAATATAACCCAGTTCTACAGTCCTTCCACTGAGAGAATAGACTTTAAATACTGTTGGTAGTTTATAAATCACTGAATGAATTAAACAGCTTTTGCTGTCATACTAACCTTCCAGACGTCTCTGATCTTCTGGTCGCTTTGAATCATCATAAATAAAACATTGACCAACATTTTTATGTGTAATGATGGCACATGGCAAAATGTAAAGTTCCAATTATTGATTTTATGAAGTAAAGTACTTTGACCTGTCTTACTGCTGAAATTTCCAAAGGAAATAAATCTGATTGATTGATCTACTTTTAAAAGTGTTAAAAGTAGGTGTGTTAAAGGTCTGACTTGCTAAGGGGCATGCACCTAAATATTAGTATGAATGAATTTATTATAATAATGATCTCTAATTCATTCATCTCCATGGATTAGAGGAAATCTCCAATAAATGCAAACCTGCAAACCCACCAGGTAGAACCTATTTCTTTAAGAAATCAATTTACAGTTTTACAACAATCTTGCTGGAACAGGAACTTTCAGTGTAAATCATTCCTGTTAAAGCTTTCATAGCCTTACAAGTTTTCTTGGAAACGTGTAGAAAAAAGGATATAAAAATAGGAATAATGACTTCAAAGTTCATCAGGCATCAGTTTCCAGTAACACTTAAGTTTTTCTGTTATTTTGTTTTCAAGTGGATAGACATTTTTTTCATAAAGAGTGCTTCACAAATGGAGTGAAAATCTGAGGGAAGAAAGATCACTAAATGTTCATTTTTACATCTGGATGTTTCTCATTACTGCGCGCAAGATCGACTACGAGTTAACGCCTTAAGCTTCTTAGAAAAAACAGCAAAGAGTCAAACATTAAAAGCAGCCAACTAATCATTTCTGAGAGAGATTCAACTCTTCATTAACATCATTTATTTTAACAACCTCTCCTGATGTTACTCTGCAGGAGGAAGGAGAAATTCACTCAATCACTTCCTCCCTCTGCCCGTTTTCCTCCTCCCTCTCGCCGCCTCCGGCTCGCCTACCGCAGCGTTACAGAGGCCACCCAGAGGGACCCAACCTGGCACCCAGAGTCACATGGCACCCAACGCACGCCATGTCTTCATGTTTCTGCAATGTGTATTGAGAAATGGCTGAAATCATAGCAAATGTGTAGAGAGATCAGAAATTAACGTGAACAGTCAGTATATACAGTTTGCATCCTTTAAGTTAATTCATCATTATTTGTGTGGCACATTGCAGAAACAAGGAAGCTTAAATTCCTTTTATTATAAAAACAGCTACAAATTATGAAAGA